CATGCATTAGACACTTCAATTGAACATTACCTGTCCAGGACAGCGATGATTTTGGGCAGTCGCCTCTTCGTTAAAGGGCCCATAGCCAAATATGATATGATTTATTAATTCCTATAAAAGAGTGAAAACAACGAATTAATTTTCAGGTTCATAGATTTTGAAGAACCAGGATTATTAGGAGGCGAGGAATAATATGCTAAAACATCAACAAGGTTTTTAACGTCTTTTTTATCCTGCTTACCTTATTTTCAAAACGAGAAGGCATAAATGTGTCCGGCTGATCGAATATACTCTCGTCTCTGTGCGCCATGTGCACGTTTCCCACAAGAAGCTCATCTTTTCGTATTCGGAACTTTTCGGAATCTGTTTCGAGATTTAGGTTATCCCTGTTGTAATAAACAAAAAGATTACTTAGATTTTATGGGCTATATTTTTAAGGCTAGGGCTAGAGATGGCATTTTATGTCCTATATGGTCAGATCAGTTCGCAGAACACCTGGCACTTCAGAGTGCATTCGGGATGTTCTTGATTCAACACTCAAAGACAGATATTTGCATGGTTGATTCAGATAAACGGAAATCAGAAAAATATTCTTCAAATGAGGCCTTAAACTGCGTTAAATAAAATTAAGAATAAAAAAAATTGTAATCCAAGCTTTCGCCAATCAGTGGCATCATCGGGGATGAGAAATTATTCCACATGGGGCTATACAAAATAGATGAAAGGTAAAATGTGCAAAAGCGTAAAAATGATATAAAGTATGTATGAAAGGTATAGAAATAATAGTAAAAAAAATGAATAAAGTACAACGGTCTACTTGACCGAGTGTCTCTAGGCAAAGGCCTCTTAAAATTCAGAAAAATTGTCTCTAAAATACTTAAACATTCTTAAACAGAAGGTCCGCGAATTTTCTACGTTCCTCATTGAGGGTAGGATTGTGCTTTATGTAAAATGCCTCGTGGAGGCTTAGATTTGTGGGGTTGTTTTCGCTCATGATAATCAGGACTTCATGATCTTTGTTCTGGCAGGCGGATAGTAGCTACACCGTACCACGATTATTAAACAGAGC